CTTGAGCTCTGGCAGGAGTTCCTCCTTCGTGCCTTTAGTGCGCACGAATTTGGCAAGGTCTTGGAAGTTGCGGAGAAGTTCGCATTGTCCAGCATCGTGGAGCTGCTTGCAGAACTTGCATCGCTTGTTGCAGTAGTGGGCGGAGTGACTCATGCCACCGCACACCGCGCATGGTCCGTACTGTGGGCGTCGGTTGTCGCGGTTGAAGTCACGTCGACCGCGTTGGTCCTGATTGAACCCACGGTCACCACCTCGGCGATCTTGATTGAAGCCATTATCGCGATCAGGCATGTTTCCACGTGGTTGACGATTGTCTGAACGTGCGTAGGTGCCTTCAGCAGCTGCACGGCGCTCATTTTCGCTAGCAGCGCGGAGGTATCGGTCGTTTTCGTCCAATGAGAAATCACCGTCCGTATTATCAGGCTGAAAGTCGTTGTACTCATCTTGGACATCGTCGTAAGCGTTCGGATCTTCGTTTGAATACTCAGTGCCTCCCTGAGCAGCTTCACGACCTTCTAATTCAGCTAGTAGGTCGTCCACCGTGGCTTCGATGAGTGTCACTCTTGGTTTGTTGCGGATGTCATCGCGGCGGCGGTCATCACGCCGGTTGTTGCGGGCGAATGCATCGTCGCGTCGCGTATCACGACTCTTGGAGTATCGGTACTCACTGTCACGCTTGGCCATCCTCTCCTTGCCCTTGAGAACATCTTCGATGATCTCTTCGAGCTCGTGAATGTCGGCGACTCGAGCGTGGTAGAGACTCTCCGCCAGCTTGTCATCATCGCATGTTGCCAGGAACTGCTGTACGTGTTCTTTCGCGTCGCGACCACTCTTCTCGAAGTGTAGACGGGCGGTCCGAGCATAGCCATTCAGCCTGTTTATGTAGTCGCACAGATGTTCATTACGTTCCCGCTTGGCGGAGTAGTAACACGACAGTGCCGTCTGCGTGAACTGCGAGCAGTAGTAGCGGATGAACGCGTCGCTCAGCAGCTTCCACTTGCGCTTCGTCTTCTTCGGAAGCTGACGGAACCAATGAATGGCTCCGTCCCGGAGACTTAGCTCAAATGGAATGCACCATTTATCGGCATCTGTGTGGGTTCCAGTCATTTCATAGACGAACCCACGGAGCCACTGCATACAGTTCTCGCTCTTGTTGCGAGAGCCTGAGAACGGCGTGATGCGATCCAGCGGTCGGTGCGAAGCCATTTCAATCCTCGGTGTTGGGTCCACGTCGTTCAGCGTCGCTAGCTCATTCATCTGACGCATCAACTCGAGTTGAGGATCTTCCTCGTCGAATGTACGCACCAAAATGTCATCGTCACTGGACGAACCATCGCTGTCGACTTGACGACGTCCGGCACCACCTTTGGGAGCTCGCGCACCGCCTCGGCGACCGAGCGAACCCTCGTTACTTGCGTAAATACGTTGCATACGGCTCTCCGAACGTGGCGTAACCATGTGTGAGTCTTGAAAGTACGGTGAAGCTTCGGTAGTGCCAAAGGCACCACGCTCAGCTCCACGCTTGGTCGGAGGAGTACGAACGAGTCGTTGGGGCGTCGGCGGCAGTGGAATCTTAGACGGATCTTCATCTTGAGTCATCGGTCGACTCACAGGCTGCTTTCCGGCATTGATGCCAACGGCGCCAAACGCCTTCCGAAGCTTCTTCTTCCATTTCTGGAGAGCAGCTCCGGCTTCATGTGGACTCCAATCCTGGAGCGACATCGTCGATGGGTACGTCTCGTTCTCGAACCCCAGCGACAACAGTAGCGAAACTGAATCCTCGGCAACTTGACTAGTCGAAACCGAGTTGACAGGGTATTGAAGTTCCTGCGCAAGCGCAGGCCAGTCGGCTTTTTTCTTGGGGATGGGCTTGAACAGCTGCATCCACTCATCATTCTGCATCAGCGCTTGTACGCGGTCGAAAACGCGCTTGGCGGCTGGTGTATCACCGTTGATAGGTGGGCGAGGTGCCTTCAGCAGTGCTGAATGATTTGCACTCGCCACCGAAGGTTTAGAACCCTCGGTCCCATCGTCATAATCATCATAGGCCGGTTCCGGTCCCGCAACATCATCGAGCTCGTCGGCGAGGTTCCTCGAAATGGACTTGGTCGCCCCGCTCAGCCCCGATGATAGCGTGGCCGTCTCTGGCGTCGCTGCGCCTGGCTCTGGAGCCGGCGTCTTATCTTCGTAATCTTCATAATCGTGGGCGTCAGGACCGATGTCCGCTTCGTCGTCGAAGCTCACTGAAAGCTCGGTGGCGGCTGCAAAGCGCGCAGCCGGGCTTGAACTCTCGTTGCGAGCCCCGCCAGACTTGGCAGGCGTAACTGGTACCGTCGGTTGTCCTTTCGCCATGTATCTTGTCTTTTTATTGTTCTTCTTCTCTTGGTAGCTCGTAAACTGGAAGGCCATACAAACAGTTCACAATGGTCACAATCTGTTCCCGGGTCGCGGCACCAGTTGTGGTGTTGGAATTCCCACGTGAACTGTAGCTACAAATGTAGTTAGGATGTTCCCACAACAATACGCCTACTAGGATAGTAAACGATCGTTCGGGCGGACCTGAAGACCCCAGTTCTGCCCTTGCACCGGGACAAACTGGACCTTGTAAACTACTTATATAGGTTAACCAGTAAAATAAGAACACGCTACTAGCACGAGCAAAGCTAGCAGGTGTTTTGAATCCTCGTGGTCCCAACAGCGGAAGGGTACCAGGCACGGGTAAGCCTTTTACGAGATCACCGAGTGTTCAACACTCGGCTGGAAGAAATAAAGGGGAGGCAATTAAAGCACTCCCAGTCGTGCAAATAGGCAACAATAAGCCGTCACGTAAAACCTCCCGATAATAATCGGCCAATACACAAAGTCTCTTGGCCTTGCCGGATGAACCCTCGCTACAGAGCTTCGAGTTCACCGACAGGCATAACACACTCAAACAAGCTTGACCTGACGCTTACCTTGAAGCCGGACGTCGCTCTGTGTGCTTGAGTGGAAATTCTGTTCTGTATTTAAGCTTACCCTTTCGGGTCTATTCCTAATAAGAAGTCCTAATCAAGTATACAAATATCAAGTGAACAATGATCCGTTATGGATCTTCTTGCATGCATAGCGTCGTCTGCACTGTCGCATGAGCATCTTTAACGGTCCGCGCCCTGTCCCAGACGGTGAACGTGTCTTCCAAAGGTCGCTGAGTATTCCGCGAACTCATCCCAACCGCCACTGAGGGTTCGTACCGTAGATGGTCCGCTGAATGCGAATCCGGCCAGTCCATTATTAATAATAAGGACAGCCTGGATTCAGTGACATAGGGCCGTATCCGATACTTGCTGAAAACTCGGAGGTGACGCCGTCGAGTCCCTTGCACCTTGGCGTCTCCGTACATCCTGACCGAGGGTTCGTCGCTTGAACATCTTGGGCGGTGTCACGTCTTTGTCGACGGGTGATAATCCGCAACTACGGAGAAATCACTACACCACAGCTACAACTGTGAAAGCTAGACTGGATTGCTGTTTCCGCGAATTTGTTCTCAGAAGGGAAACACAGCTACGGTCTATGTCGACGAAGATAAACTGGCTCAGACGATCACTTTTCATACTCATCAAATGCGCCGCTTCTTTGAGGCCTTTCCAGAAGTGATGGTGGTTGATGCCACCCACAACATCAATGACGCTCGGTATAAGCTGTTTAGCTTTATGATTCATGACGTATTCGGCCATGTGAGTGACAACTCTGTGATTATTTGTGGTTCTTTGTGACTTACAGTGTGTCATTGTGTCTTTTTGTGTCGCTTTGTGCCCCTCAGTGCCGTATCGTGGCTTTTGTTATTATTGATGCCTCATTGTGGCTTTTTGTGAATTGTGTGTGAAATAGAGACAATACGTTTAACATTCAACATGCACTGATGGAAAATGAGAGCGCTGAATGTTTTACGGACGCCGTTCACGTGAAATCACTGAAACAAGGCGACGGAGTCAACTGCGGGTCACTGGTATTGCACTTCTTTGAGTGTACAGTCCGCGGCATTGCTCTTCTAGATTCTGTTTCAAAGGTCATCCTGCGGTATATTCGGTTGCGGTAGTTGCTGGAGTCACTGCATGTTTAAATTGTTCTAATACACACCACACCATTGAAAGGATACGTCTTGTACGCATAACTCATATTTTTTCCTTACTTATATGTGTTTCCCGCAAGAATATTAAACTGCGTAGCGACACGACAGATACGACCTTGGTTCTCGTCGATAAAAATTGTAGATAACTATATCTTTTTTTCACGCTATTGGCCTCCGTGCAGGGGCAATACGCTGACACGACATGCCAGTAAAAAATCACGAAGTCAATTGCACACTCACGTAACATTCCATTTCGAGCCAGTGTACGTGCTACATTCAAGCTACAATTAGATTCGATGATGTATGCGCATACACCCCAGAAAGTCTATGATTGATGAAATTTATGAGTTTAAATTACGTAATTAATGCTCAACGTGCACCTATTAATATGTGTGCCCGCGTGGTGGCTTTTATATGCACTTAAGTACGAAGGCACACACTCATAGTGTGACTCTAACATCGATCATTATTGTTAGTGGTGTACATGTATAATAGTTTACAGTATAGTTCCTGTATACGCTCATGACCCGTTCGCTATTCACGCAGAATACTGTACTCAGCAATTGCAGCTGCAACAGGTGCGACTGGTGCCGCGGCTACACAAGCTGGTTGTCGACTAAAGCTCTTCTGCGGACGAAGAGCTGAGCTGCCCCGTTTCGACGTAGATACCAGCAGAGACGACGATGAGAACGATCAGTCCACAGATGAGAGGCCTCCGGAGGTGAGGGCTTTTTATAATCCATTAGGTGCAGGAGAAACAACGTGTCATTAGGAGCAATGATCAGCACAAGCTCTGACCAGAGTACTTAAATTTTGCTGGAACCTTCATTGGGTTTCGCAATTAATTAAGAGCATATCTTGATAAGGTTGGACAGCTTCTTTTTCACCGATCCTACTGGGGCGGGTGGTGGAGCTCAACGAGGCCTACATACATGGCCGCACCCAGCACTGCACCTATGAACGGGCCCAAAATGGGGATCCAGAAGTACCCACCGTGCGACGAGAACACCTTCCAACCCCAGCCGCCGAAAAACGTCAGAAGGCGCGGACCGAAGTCGCGAGCGGGGTTAAGAGCGTAGCCTGTATTGAGGCCGAACGACATACCGATGCCTGTCAGTAGTAGACCCACAGCACCGGGGAAACTGTAGGGACTGGCAGGTTTGTTGATTTGGTCACACAACGCGAAGATGCCACTAACTAGCAGAGCCGTACCGATGACTTCGTTAGCGAACGCAGCCCAGTTCGGGATCTGTGGGTTTGGGTATGTGGCAAAGATTCCCTGAGTGAATTCGCGCTCGGGGTCGACGATGTCGAGCCACGGGTAGTAGACGATGAAGAGCACCAACGCAGCAGCGAACGCCCCCATTGTCTGCGCGATGATGTAGCCCGGAACTTTGCGCCACTCGAAGCGCTTGAATATTGCCATGGCCACACTGACTGCAGGATTGAGATGACCACCGCTAACACCACCCGAGAAATGAACCCCGAAGAGAAGTGCGATACCCCAGCAGAGATTTACCGAAAGATAGTCACCAGCAGCCCTCTTACTAAGCACGAACTGGGCCACGGAGCCGTCACCGATCAGCACGAGGATAAAAGTACCGACGAATTCAGCCATGTAAGCGCGCATGTCTGGGTTACGAATCGCGAAGGGTGCTAGTCGACCATTGCCTTCGAGGTCAGCATAGCCACCGAAACCAGGCTTGTATTCTGCCATAATTGTGTTGCGTCTTGAGCTGCTGGTTTCGCTTGGTCAAGTCGGGAAAAAGCAATTTGACGACTGAAAGTGGAGAAGAAGTCCACTACCGGATATTTTTAGAAGTGTCACACTCCTCGTGTCTTATCGTTCTACTATTCGAGGACACGCAAGCGTCGGTGGCGTCTATATTGGTGCTTTGCACTGTCATTGGCCTTCGAAACAAGCTTTATCTCCCAAGAATAGTGAAGTCCAAGCGTAGACGAAGTACCTCCATTTTTATCCAGAAATATAAGCTGTATTGATGTGCGTGCATTGGACCGATACTTATCTACCAACGTTCGTCCACGCTACCGTTGCTACATTTACTGAGGAGGGTGGTGGGCCTCAATGAGACCCACGTACGTGGCAGCACCAACAATGCCACCCACAAACGGACCGACAATGGGGATCCAGAAGTAGCCGTCACGCAGAGTCCACACCTTCCAGCCCCATCCAGCGAAGAATGTGAAGAGACGAGGACCGAAGTCACGAGCGGGGTTGAGAGCATAACCAGTGTCGAGGCCGAACGCCATGCCAATGCACGTAAGCATCAGAGCAACGGCACCAGGAAAACTGTAGGGGCTCGCGGGCTTGTTGAGCTGGTCTCCGACAGCAAAGATGCCGCTTACAAGCAGAGCCGTACCGATGATCTCATTCGCAAGGGCCGACCAGTTAGGGATCTGAGCGTTTGGGTAGGTGGCGAAGATACCCTGCGTTGTCTCACGTTCCGGGTCGTGGATATCGAACCACGGGTAGTACACAATGAAGACGATGATGGCGGCCGCGAAGGCACCGGCAGTCTGGGCGACAAAGTAACCGGGAACCTTGTGCCATTCGAAACGCTTGAACAAGGCCAGCGTGAGAGTGACGGCCGGATTCAGGTGACCACCACTGACACCTCCAGCGAAGTGAATGCCGAAAAGCAGAGCGATACCCCAGCACAAGTTCACGGACAGGTAGTGGCCGGCACCGCCTCCGCCGAGCACGTACTGCGCAACGGATCCATCACCGATAAGCACGAGGATGAAGGTGCCGACGAATTCCGCAAGGTAGGCGCGGAAGTTTGGGTTGTGAACATGATAGAATGGCAGGCGGGAGTTGCTCTCCAGGTCGGTGAAGCCGTGCTTACTGGTGCCGTATTCGGTCATACTTGATCGGGTGCGAGTAATGAGAAGGAAACTTGCCAGGAAGAGGGAAAATGAAAGAATGCATGAGTCTAATGGTGTCGCTCCGAACGGGTTGCCTTGAAGTCGCTTGGTGTGGGTGGTCAGAAGGAAGAGCATAGAGGCGTCAATGGAGGAGCAAAGCCAAGTATCAAACGCTCATGGCAATAACAGCTGCTCGCGACATAA